ACACACACACACACACATATATATATGTCTCTCTATAAATATCTCCAATATTTATCTTGTCATTTATTATAATTTAAGATTGGCTGGTTGTTGGCATGTTGATTGGTAGATTGATTAAGGGTTAAGTAGGGATTTAGAGGTTAATTTCTAACACTATTACATGCCTTTAAGATTTTCTATATAATTTAGCAGCACTTATATGTAAAATGAAATAAAATCACTGATAGATTTTTGAAGGCTGATAGCTTATTTCTGTCATTTAAATTATTATTACTAGGATTTGCAAATATATTAAATTACAACTTCAAGTACTTCATTACCTGTACAGAATATGATTGAAGTTTTTTATTCGACCCGTAGAAATCCTGCCTTTAGCATCTATGAAATTTCCTCTTTCTATTAGCATATTATTTGCATTCCTCCCACTTTGGCTAACACAGAGTACTTTTTTTTTAAAAAAAAATTTAAAAGTACATGCATATGTGTGTATATAATTGCCACTATTTATTATAGCAACTTTATTATACTTATTACTTTCAATAAGTTTTGTGCAATACACATTTTCTCATCAGAAATTGCATTCTTTATGACTCTGCTGAATTTGTTAATTGATGACAATGTATTTGCAGAATATCAAAGACCAACTGGACAAGCTGGGGGACCAGATTGCTGTCATTCATGAGAAGCAACCAGATGTGATCCTTGAGGCGTCCGGACCTGAAGCTGTTCAGATTGGGGATATGCTTGCGCAGCTGAATGCAAAATGGGACAGAGTTAATAGAATGTACAGTGATCGGAAGGGGTATGTTTAAATGGATTTAATATTTAATATTTTAAACAAAGGCTTATAAACTCCTAACCTTGGAAAAGATTGATGAGAACATGCTGCATAACCTTATAATATAACCTGTTTGATCAGTTAGGAACAGAGCCTTGGTGATGCACCAGTTAAGCACTTTTCTCCTAGCTCGAAGATTATCAGTTAGAACCCACTGAACCTCCTTACAGACTAAAGACCTGGCCTTCTGTTCCTATAAAGGTTACTGCCCTCCAGGACAGTTCTGCTCCATCACAGGTTGCTATGTGTCAGAATCTGTGTGGCAGCAGGCAACAGTAGTAATCAGTTATGATCAGTATTGTGTCCTGAATGAAGAGGAGTCTGATGGCATGTGTAGAGGGTTATATACAGCTTAATGCCTACCGTGAAAAGTTTGAAGCACCTTGACCTTTTAACGTCTAAGTAACATCAGTTTGGTTTAAAAATAATGAAGGTCTCATTAATATTTAGTCTCTCCACACACTTGATGATTAATGTCAGTGGAGAAAGAGAGGGCTACAGATAATTAGAATCCATATATAACCCTAGACCTTCTGCTTAATAGAATGGTTTTGAATCTTCTTACTAGCATTTTGCCATGCCTATTAATAAATTGGAATCTAAACTGGTTTTTTTTTTAAATAGGAGGTATATGTGTAGTAGAAAGGCAAATACAATATGAAAGAGCCTAACAGGAAGTAGTTTATACAGACAGAAAGGTAACAGAATAACACATTAAAAATTGTAGTAGTAACATAAACAGAAAGTAGCCATCATGCTTTTAATAGATTTTTCAAAACATGCAAATCTCATAGTTAAACAATCTTTGAAACAATACCTTTTAGTGACTTTCTGATGTAGTCCTTTATATAGATGTGTCCCTTTTTGGAGATGTGTGTCTTTGTGCGATTGTGGTGTTGTTGAGTATTATTGAGTTGGAACTGACCCATATCCTTGAGTTAGTTTTCAGAAGCAGTAAGTCACATGGAAGAAGAGCAGCTGGTGGATTCAAACAGTGTACCTTTGGGTTGGCAGTGTAATTTCTTATCACTAAGCCAGCAGAGCTTAAAAATGTCACAGGAGGACATTGCTTATCTTTCTCCTGCAGATAATCTGATGGATTTTAACTGTGCACCTTTGGGTTGTCAGCACAGGTCCTCTTTGGGCAAGTAGAGACTATTTTTGATAGACATCTTTATACATACTTCTAGCTATGTCATTGGGATAACATATGAGGTAAAGACAAACTTGTTAATGAATAATCACTAAACTGCCATTAACTTCTGAGAGTAGGTTTGATTTTAGGAAAACAAAACAGATTCTCTTTCCGAACTCTTTTAAATGTTCTCTGCTATGGCCAATGGCATTCGTTTTTCTGTTTTCTCAAATAAGTAACTTGAGAAACTCTTCTGGTTAAATGTTTGCTTCTTTTGACCTATTATTTAATCTCTTTTTTTTGGCCAGGTTGTTTACTTCCTCTGTCTTGAATTTCTCAATCTTTAGGATGTGTTTTTCTTTCATATCAAGAGCTTCTTAGATAAATGTTCTCTTTATGTCCTTTGTCAGCTTTCACTCTGTGTTGACAAAATCCAGGCTTCTCATCGACTGCCTGGAAGCTTTCAACAGTATTCTCTAGATAATTTAATTTCTAATACCTTTTACTCATTCAGTTTTATTTATTCTCTTCACACAAAGTTGATTAAATTCTTCTTTGTTTCTGATTTTCACTTGGAATAGTGTCTTCTGTTAAATATAAATGTCCACCTTAATTCAGTAATTTTCTCCCCCAGAATTTAAAAAAAGATTGGGATGCCATTAGAATAACTTCACCTTCCTACTTATCTGGCCATCTATTTATGCAACTTTTACATGTTAAGACTTTATTAAGTGCCTACCAATAAGCGTATATAGGGAGCTCTGGTGGCCTAGTGGTAAGAAGCTACACTGCAATTGCAAAGGCACGCGGTTCAAGGCCACCAGCTGCTCCACAGGAGAAGGATGGACATTCTCCTCCTGTGTGATTATTTGCCTCTGGAAACCTGCCAGAGGATCAGCTATGGGTTGATTCCAACTCAATGCTATACAACAACAGGCATATATAGCCACCTCCCACTAAGAATTATAAGGCAGACATACCAGATAGATACAGGCTGTATCTTTAAGACCCAGAGGCACAGAGTAGAAAGAATTAAAGGTGCAGTTATTATACGGTGCATAGATCTGTAATAAGAACAATACAAGAAGGCCTCAGGGCAGTTACGAAGTCTTCTTGGAGATTGAGAAGTTAGTCAGCTGAAAGAAATGAGGGAATGCAACATTGCAGAGAATCATGGGAAATTTAGTGTGTCTCTTGTGAGTAAATGAAGACAGTCCACTCGAGCTGGGGCAAATGGTAGAGAGATGAGACCAGAAATGTCTAATGGGACAAACTCATGAAGGAGCTCTGTGTGTTATCTTGGCCTGTACTTTATTCTGAAAGCAGAAGGGAGCTGTTCTGGTATTCACAATAAAGGAATGACAGTCTGCGGATTGTAGAATCGGTTGATATTGGTAGATGGAGGGCGAGACTGTATGAGAATTCATGGATATCATGTTGCAGTCATTAGACTGTGGAAATTGCTGTGGAAATAGAAACAAGGCAGGAAATCCAAGAAGTGTTTGGATATTTGAATCAGTAAGGTGTGATTGATAGAATATTGGAGGAAGGAAGGAGGAAGAGTGGAAGTGGCACCCATGTCTTTGGTTAATTGTTGTTAGATGCCATCGAGTCAAGTACAGCCCATAGCGACCCTAGGAACAGCTGACTGGACTCTTGTCCTATACTGGGCCATTCTCACACTTCCTGACACACTAGAGCTCATTACTCCAGTTACTGTGTCAATCTGCCTGGTTATGGGTCTTCTTCTCTTTCACCGGCCCTACACCTTTCCAAGCGTGGTCTCCCCTCCGTGCAATAGTTCCTCCTAGCAACGTGCCTGAAGTAGGCGAGATGAAGCCTCTTCGTCTTTGTCTTTGTTTTTAAAAAAAGTGAAGAATTGAAGGGTGCTGTTGACCTTTAGGACCCTAACTCCCTGGGTGAGATGATGTGCTACTGAACTGATTGATTCCCACTAGCACTGGGCACAGTTGGCGTGCCCCACAGGTTGGCTGGTTTCTCGCCTGTCATCTGTGTGGGAGCTGGTTGCCAGCCAGGCCTTTCTCCCATGAAGCGGCTGAGTGGATTCAAACCAGCAGTCTTTCGTTAAACCAAGCACTGAAGCTCTGTGCCATCGGAGATCCATCCTCTGTAAATGGTGCCATTCTCATGTACAGGGAAAGAAGGTAATGGGATGGGTCTCCAGGGAAGGACAGCGAGGTTAGTTGGAGTGTTAGTGTCAGCCTTTCTGTGAGAAGTCAAGCTGTGTAGAGACAACAGAGGTACAAAACTTATATTTTTCTAGTTCACATACAGTCCAAGGATGGAAGGGTGACACATTTCCCAGTGTGGTCACAAAGTGGACATTGTTGTGTTGTTGTTTTTGTTGGGTACCATCAAGTCAGAACCAACCCATAGCTGACTCGCTCGTGGGTTTTCAGTTGCAGTTAATCTGTCAGGAGGAGATTGCCCATCCTTCTTCCATGAAACAGTTGGTGGATTCAAACTGCATGCCTTTGGGATTGCAGTGCAGCTTCTTGCTGCTGGACCACCAGTAGAGTTCCTTAACTCTATGCAAGACCATGCCCCTTCATGGTTCTGTGCTGACTGTAACCCAGACAGGCTCTGTGGGACAGGAGGAGATTACATTTCATGGAGGTGCCCAGCTGATCATGAATCTGCATGTTTTCCGATTATTTTTTACTTAATCCATAGCTGTGCTACTTAGATTGATTTGAAATTTGATGTACTATGGAAATAGGAGTGGCATCCACTTCCTAAACAGCATACCTCCGGAAACCCTATGAACTTTGATAAATGTCAGTGGTTGTAGAGGGGCTTCAGGCCTTTTGTTCATGGGATCGCTATGAGTCGTGCTTGACTCAAAGGCAATCTTATTGATAGTTTGCATTTATCCTCAAAGTCTTTGTGGCACTTTAGAGCAACCTTTCTGGAAATACTTTCTCCTGATGATGATAAAATGTAAAATTGGAAATGGGGAGTTTTTTGCACCTGTTGAGCATTCTTGTAAGTGATGATGTGGATGGCCTTCGTGTCTTCTCATAGTGTTTTGCCTGAAGTGCTCTTATTTTGATTCTGATCAGTAGGTTGATGTTTTTCTATGGATGGCCCACAAATATTTATGGAATTTTAAAAATTCCTTTTGGAGAGAAGATAATATAAACATTATTTGTTTGTTGTTGTAGACTGTGGAGTTGTAACTGACCTACACCTGGCCCTCCAGTGGGTTTTCAGAAGCAGCTAATCACAGGGAAGAGATTGTTTATGGTTTTTCCACAGAGAAGTGGGTGGATTCAAACCGCATACCTTTGCCTTGGCAGCACGATTACTTGCCACTAAGCCAGTGGACCTCCCTATGTAAGGGGTAGTGATTAATTTTAAGGGCCAATTTTTATGATTTTAAAATATTTCTCTTATACAAATTAAGAATGATTATTGAAAATGTCAGAGATTTCTTCTAAACTGCTCCCGAATCTACTGCTTACTCTAAACAAAAGGTAGAAGGAAAAAAAAAATTAGAATTCTAATTTAGCAAAGAATTTCCTTTTTGTGTTTGATTTATATGTTCTGACTGTCATAAATACTAGAGTTTTACTTTGTGTCATTTCTAAGAGTCAAGTTTAAACAGAGTCCAACAAACAGAGTCAGACTCAGTGCCTTGCCCTGGGCCTGACCTTGACCTTGTTCACACAAGGTCATACTGTGCGCTGTTCATATATGTGGGGTATGAAGGATTGTTATTCATGGCCCAGGAGGCCACAGAGGCTTTGGAGGAAGTCGTAGTCATGCAGTGCGTAAAGTACAGGGCTGGTAGCTGAGAGGTGAGTAGTTTAAATCCAGCAGCCCTTGTCTGGGTGACAGCGGCCGTCTCCCGTTAAGATTTACGGTCTTGGAAAACTTATGATTGGCTAGCCATGAGTTGCAGTCAACTTGACAGGAGTGGGGTTTTGGTGTTAAATGATGTGGAGTGCAACTGTGAAGGGTTTTGGTCTTTGGGGCTCTGGTTTAACTGGGAGCTAAGTGTTCTAGCAGAGTTTTTCTGAATGAAAAGAGTAATTAATCATATTTTAGGTTTCACAATATTTGAAATGGTGTTGGCTAGATAAATGTTCCTGTTGCTAATTTTGATATTACAAGCCAGAGAAGGCAAAGTTTACGTAGCCTCTGTGTAGTTCTTTCAGTTAAAAAGATGTGTGTGTGTGTGTGTGTGTGTGTGTGTGTTTATATGTGCATGTGCACATACAAGAAGACAGAGCAAGCGAGTGTGAGAGAAGGAAGCAGAGGCAGACTAGGGAAGAGTTTCTGTGTTCTCTGTGTAATCATGCTTCTCTAAGAGGACTTATAAACTTACCTTAGTACAAAATTGGCCTAGTGGCAAAAAGCTGCACTGCAATCCTGAAGGTACGTGGTTCGAGGCCACCAGCTGCTGTGTAGGAAAAGGATGGGCGATCTCCTCCCGTGAGATTAACTGCCTCTGAAAACCCACCGGAGACTCAGCGATGGTCCGACTCTGTACACAGCAACCACAACAGTACACAGTTGGGTTGTGCGGAGCAGTGAGTTGTGTGTGAAGCTGTTCCTAGGCCTTCAGTTTAATGTCCTTCATGTAACTTTCTTCTCAACACTCCTGAGTTGGGCCGTCACTTCCTGTCCTCTTTGTTCTCCTGCAGTTATTTTGATCAGGCTGTAGAAGAGTGGAGACAGTTCCACTGTGACCTGAGTGACCTCACGCAGTGGATGGCAGAATTTGAGCAGTTGCTGGTTGATACCTGCACTCCAGATGGCAGCCTGGACGTGGAGAAAGCCAGGATGCACCAGCAGGTGAGAGCTGTCACAGGCTGGGTCCTTGCCAAACAGAGTGAGTGAAGACCTATGTAGCTGACTGTTTCAAATGTGCTTATTTTCAGAAGTAGAGACCAAATACCATTATCTTTCAGGAGAATATAGATAATTGTATGATTTTTATTTGAGTTCTCATATCTAGTTTCAAGGGTTTATGCAAAGTGAATAATTTCCAGGTTTTAATCAAGAGTCTACAAGTAATGAAAATGAAAATAAAAATGTACTCTCATATTGGCTAATATGAGAAACAATTATGGTTTTAAGATTTTACACTCAAAATAAAATATAGAAAATGTTTGTGCCCAACTCTCTCTCAAGGGCAGATTTTTAAAATATATGTGGTCTTACCATTATGTTCTGTCCTCAGACTCTGAGGCATCTCATTAATCTTTGTGACACAGATAATTATCAACACAGTTAATTATTCTTGAGTTGTGTGTGGCAGGGCAGTTGCTCATATAAGTCTAATTCAATCTTAAAGGATTATAATAGTAGTAAATCTTTGAAACTATTGGTAGAAAACAATTTCTATTTTATCATTGATTAAAGTAATTAAAATATATTTTATGTAGAAGGTTTTGAATAAAGGGAATGCTTTTGTATTTCCCCATGAACGTATGCCTTTTTCTTATATTTTTTTGAGTTATGCATAAGTGGTTAAAATTGACCTTTAATGCAATGATTTTAAATTATCCAGAGCAGTGAAACATTGTTAATAGAATGCACATTGAGATTTTCTTAGAGAGAGTAAAACATAAAGGATTGTGGAGTATCTGTGTGCAAAATTTTTTGAGATGCTTTCAAGCTCATATTTGGAAGAAAATACTGACTTTAATCAAACATGATCTATGCTTTGCACAACAATGAAGACACTTTGTTATGTATCTGTTGTTAGATTTTCCTATTTCACTGTACTTTACCTAATGGCATTCATTAGAATGAGTTACATTTCATTATCAGTTGCTTTTAGTGTTTTGTTTGAAGTATAATTTAGCATTTACATAAAGATCAGATGATATTCTTGTAGACATCTCTAACATTGAAGTTGATGCCACAACTCCTGGGTGAATTCATTGTATCGGACAGGTTAGTTTGATAGTAGAACTAATTGCAGCTTGTTCCCTGTTGCAGGACCTTGAAGATGGCATCAGCAGCCACCAGCCTCGTTTCGCAGCACTGAACAGAGCGGGGGACGAGATAGTACAGAAACTCTCCTCCACAAACGGAAGCTTCCTGAGAGACAAGCTGGCAGGTCTAAACCAGCGCTGGAGTGTGGTGGTGGCGGAAGTGAAGGACAGGAAGCCAAGGTGAGTGAATCACAGTAACTGGACAGCACAGGGGGGAGGCTGTTTGGGGTACAATCCTGGACAGTCCTTTTATGATCTGATGTCATAGTGCCAGCTTTCTTGATATTTAAGATTGCTGTGTCCATTTTTAATCAGTTCATACAGCTCGATTTTTGTACCCCAATATTGCCCATGCTAAACATACCTTGCAGGAGTCCTTGAGTAGACTAAATGGTACATGCTTGACTTGAGCCCAAAGGTTGGTAGTTCAAACCCACTCAGAGGCCCAGCTCAAAGGTCATAATTTTGAAAACCTTATAGAATAGTTCTGCTGAGCCCGCGTGGAGTCACTATGAGTCTTGGGATTGACATGACAGCAATTGACATTAACAACAAAATACATTTATTCATCTTGTTGTTAATGATAAAGTGATTGTGTGGAAGCATCTTGAAGTTGTTGGGAACATGTTTCTGGACTTTTGGTCTGAAAGTTGAGGTGCAGGTTTTAGGACTCAGTGGCTCATTTGTTACATCTTAGTTTTTGCTGCCAACTAGCTCTGGAGGTTTGCTTCTTCTTAGTTCCTGATGGTGTATGTCTGTCATATGCACATGTGGCAGTGCTTTGTGAACAATAAAGTTCCCCCTCCATGCAATGTTATAAATATATTACCTGGTTTTAGTGTCAGTTTCTGTGACAGTGTCCTAGGCTTTACTAATGGCTTCTGGCTACAAGCAAGTTTGAACACAGTGTCAGGTACTTTGAGTTGACTGTGAATTATAGCGAGCCTGTGAACAGCGGCCTGTGAACAACAGCCTGTGAACAGTGTCCTGTGAACAATGGTCTGTGAACAACAGCCTGTGAACAGCGTCCTGCAACCTGGCCCTTTCCTGTTCAGCACTCCCACTTTCTGCCACGCTCCAGCCTCTTGCTGCAATCATCCCTCTTGCTGAGGGTTACCTCTCTTCCTGAGCCTCTGCTTTTCCAAGTAATGCAAAACAGTACCTTATACATATTATCTCCTAGAATACTTCAAATTATTTGGAATTATTTTCTAGGATGGTAAAGTTTTAATGAATAACTTCTCTTTGGCTAATATATTCCATCATTCCATGTCATGAAAGACTTTTTGTTTTGTTGGTATAAGGGTCTTCTCTTTAGTGTCCTTAACATAACTGACCCTCAGCAGGTATTCAGAGGTTGTAAATCTCACAGGAGGATTTTACTTCTTTTTCTCTGTGGAGTAAGAAGATTCGAACCACCTGTCTGTGGGTTGGCAATGCAAGTTCTTACTCATTGGGCCACAAGAACTAGTTAGAGTAGTTCTAAGTTAAGAAGTTTGAGAAGTATGGTTTTTTTCTCTCTTAATTTTAACTTTTGTGAATGATCTGTTATTTTGGCATAAGATATTATTTTGTCATACACTCAGTATTATAATTTGACATAACCATTCAAGTATGATGTGGCCATTTTTTACCAGTTGTTAAACTATTAAATAGGATTTTGAGTGCATTCCTCAGATGGTACAAACCGTTAACAAGCTCAACTGCTAACAGAAAGCCTGAAGATCTGTGTTTACCCAGAGGCACCTCAGAGAAATGTTTGGCAGTTTATTGAATCAACATTCAGCCATTGCAAGTGCTATGGAGCATGTGATTACCTTGAGTCAGAATCAAGCAAACAAAAACCATTTAACTGGCTATTTTGTTGTGAGATTTTGCTTAAGAAACTGGCCAAGAGACTACAGTGTATCAGAGCATCCAGGATACACTATCCATAGCATCTTCACGGACCTCCTTTGAGGGGACTGATAGGCACATTGTCCATCTTGAGACACTGGAGCTCAGAGGATTGAGGTTGAGAACTTATCTGAGGTCTTGTCATAAGAGACTCATGATCTTATGCTCTCAAATGCTGTGTGGTGTAAACTAAGAAAGACAGAAATCTATAGACTCAAAGCTCCTTCCTCCGAAAATAAGAACAATGATATTTCATTAGAGGATTTTTACAGACATCATATGAAACAGTATTTGCAAAATATTTATGCTCTATTTCCTAGCATATATTCCAGAAATCTATGTTTATAATTGCAAGTTAACCTAGAACTTGCTCTGTAAGCATGTGGTTACTGGATTTTGCCAGTGACTGATGGATTTGATCGATTTGTATTGAGCCTTGGTTACAGCACCTGGGGATACAAATATGACTGAGAAGCTCCAAAGTTTAAATATTTGTAGAAGAAATAAGGGGGTGAGATGAAGGTATTAGTAAGATGCAGTGTTGTCGCAGAGAGGTGGGCATGGGAGGCACCACAGACAACAGAGTTAAAGTGAACTGGGAAACATTTCTAGAAATTTCTTCCTAGTGAAGGCTTCTAGAGAAAAGCAGAGCAGGCAAAGGCGAGGAGGAAGCAACTGGCGTGGCCTTGCCATGGATCTGCAATGATGTGGCTGGGAAGGTGGCTTAAGGAAAAAGGGAAGAATTCCAAGTTCAAGTCTTCACTGTGGTAGTGATGTGTTTGCATGAGAGTCCATTTATTCTGGAGTGATCTCCTAAGCAAAATGGTCTACTGCTGGCATTGTATTCACAGTACATACAGAAAGCCCCCAAGTGTTTTCAGAATCCATCTCCGTAGAGTATAGGTAGGTTGTTTTTTTGTTGTTTTTTTTTTAAAATAGCTTTAAGTTTAATACACTTTACTCTTTGAAAGTGAAAAATATAATAACCCATTTTTTTATCCTCTTCTGTTTTGACTAAGACAGTATGTACTTCCATAGATGCTTGTTGAAACTTTGCTTTGGAGTTATAATCTCTATTAACTTGGGGCCAACCTGGAATCTTAAGAGGTTGTGTATATATTGTTACTGGTCATTGAGAATTACCACTTAGTTCAATTGTTTTTTGTATTTAGTGCCTATCCTTAAATATTTACATAGTTCAGCAGCTTATGGTATTCAGCAGCTTATGGTATTACTCCTTAGTGAGCAATTGTTATCTGCTGTTTGAACATGAATTTATAGTACGTTTTTACTGCTACGGCTAACATTTAAAATGTAGATTATATTGGGCTAGTGTGCAGATGAGAATTTTCTTATGACTAAAATATGTCTGTTAAAGTTACTTGATAATGTTGGCTTCCTTCATAAATATATTTTGAAAACACTATATTAGTCAGAATTTTTGAAACATTGGAAATTGAAGATCCTACATTTTCTTAGGAAACAAACAACTCATTGCCATTGAGTCAAACTGATGTAGAGCAGATCTGCCAGTGGGTTTTCAGAAACTGTAAATCACATAGAAGGAGATTTGCCCCTTTTCCTCCCAGGAAGCACCTAGTGGATTCGAACCACCAGAGGTGTTGCCGCTTGGGGGTTAGCAGTGCAACTCCCTGTCCACTAGGCTGGCAGAGCTAAGGGTACCAGAATGCTTCTAAAATTGCTCTGTGCGCTAAATTTTATTAACTGCATGTTGTTGTTATGTGCCGTCGAGTTGATTGCAACTCATAGTGACCCTATGTGTAGCACTGAACCTGGCTCTATCTCGAGACACTTTAATGTAGTGTTGTCAATTAATACTATTGCTTGGTAGAAAACAAAATTCAAGTAATAGTCTGTCCTTATAGATATTTAATAACTACAGTTGTAGTTCATGCTATTAGTTATATAACTATTAAGTTATCATTTTATTGTTTATACTGTAGTATGTATTTTTATGCCTGAAAAGAAAAATGCAGTAGCCATAAAAGAATCATAAATTCTTATTACCCACTGCTGTTGATTTAACTTTCCCTCATGGGAACCTTCCATCAGATTTCTAAGATTGTAAATCTTTTCAGACTTAGGAGACTGCCCTTCCCCCCTTGCACAGCTGTTGGTGGATGCTAATTAGTGATGTCTCCTTGTGCAGCTCTGCATGTTACCTGCTATGCCACCGGGTCTCCTTGAAGTTCTTACTCAACCCAACTCATTTTCATCAATTCCTAACTGACTCATTCCTCTTATCAGAGGCTGGAAATGTCATGGGAGGAGATTACCCATCATTCCCTGGGAACCACTGGTGTGTGAAAACTGCCACAGAGACACCGCTTTGCATTGTTGTTCTTGTTATGTGCCATCGAATCGCTTGCAATTCAGAGCGACCCTATGTCGAACAGCTCTGAAACTTATTGTCTCAGACACACCTATCTCCCATTACCCCAGTCACTGAATCAATCCATTTCATTCAGGGTTTTCCTCTCCTGTGCTGTCCCTTCAGCCTCCCAAGCAAGATGTTCCTCTCTAAGGATTAGCAGGGGAAAAAAATACAATTTATTAAAATATTGCATTCTGTTTTGAAACAAACTTTTAGCTAGCAGCAGCTCAAATGATCATTGTAACTCCATTATGTGTTTATTTAGCTCATAAAAGCTTCTAACACTCTTTTCTAAAAACACATGCTCTTATTTGTCACATGTGTTCTAATCATATTCTCATCTACCGACAGATGGTTGACATCTTTTGTGATTCTTACAACGTTTAAAAGATCTAATTAACTCATTCTTTTTTTATATTATCTGTTTATTTTTATTACTTTTTTTCCATTTTGCTTTCTTAAATCTTTTATAAATTTGTGTGAAAATAACTTTTTATTTGCCTTACTAACTCTTCTTAAGTTTTCCCAGTTTTTGATAACCTAGCTTTGTTCTTATTCTTTTTCTCCTATGAATAAAACAGAAAGATAATCATGTTAGTAGGTCTATCTTAAAACATTCAAAGATAATAGTATATTTTTCATTGTTATCTTAGATAAAGACACTTCTAAACTTCTGTTTTCTACAGTGCTAATGCTAAAAAAGACCTTTATGTTAAAATTGTAGTTAGTCTTTTATGATAAGGGAAAATAACCTTTGTTTGTTCTAGTATTTTGAATTTAATTAAAGATAATATCTCCTTATATTATCAAATAATCTTCAGTACTACAGAATGTTCCTATTAATATTAGCATTCAGAAATGCTCTCTGGTCACATCAGCATAAGGAGTTGCTTTGTCAAACCAAAAGCACATGGTTCAAATCCACCATCTGCTCCATGGGACAGTGATAGGGAGGGTCAGGAAGGAGTTGGTTCCAACTGGAAAATACGCAACAACAACAACAACAACAACAGTGACATTATTTTTAATATTAAAGTGGTTACCAGCAATTATTTTGGTGAGGATTAATGGTCGAGATATCCAAAGATGGGCTCTGCTTAATTGGATCCATTTTCTCATATTTTCAAAAATATATTCTTTAGGCTAAAAGGAGAAGGGAAGCAGGCAATGGAATATAGGAAAAGGCTAGATGACGTGGTCTGCTGGTTAACAAAGGCTGAGCTTGCTGTACAGAGGAAGCCCACCGCTGACCTGGAAGAAAACCTGCAAGAATTGACAGTAAGTGGTGTGTTGGTCCCTGTGTTTTCTGGTATGTTCTGATGCGTGAATGTGTGTGCTTAAGAGCAATTATTGCACCACTTAAGAAAATGGAGGAAATTTTTTACTTCATGTTAAATATGTTGAACTTGAAAGAGGGTTATTTGTCATATGTTTTAAAGAGCAGCTGTAATTTTCCTGTTGCTGAGGTGAGTTGTTGCTCACACAAAAGTTACAAGTCATTGACTTTGGTCTTGATAATGGTTTTAGACCAAATGTTTTTGGAAATTCTCTAGCAAAGTGTAATTTTAGAATATAATCATGCTTTGGTTTGGAAACAGGAGCGGCATCCACTTCCTAAGCAACATGCCTCTGGAGACTCTGTGAACTTTCATAAATGTCGGTGTTGTAGAGGGGCTTCAGGCCTTTTGTTCACAGGGTCCCTATGAGTCGTGCTTGACGCAGAGGCGATCAACAACAGCAGTCGTGCTTTGAAATTTAATTTATGCCTTTACTCATGATTAGCTCTGAAATGGAAAAATTTTTATTAAATTTTATTCATTTTAATGAACATTTACAGAGATTTTGTGTTCTCATTCATTCATTGTTGCACTGTTTTCTCTACCCTCCTCCCCAGTTCATTCTTCTTCCCCCCCACCCCGAATGTCTGTTTTAATTGTCCAATTGCCACAGTGCTTGTCAAAGCCAGTTCTGATTAATCTCCTTTGCCAGTGTGTCCTTTGCCATTCCCTATCACTTCTCCCTGAGAGAGACTTCACCCTGATTCATAAGGAAAAGGGGATGGCGTATTCTCTTAGCTACTTCCTGCTGAAAAGGGACGCTGTGGGTTTCAGGGTGAAGATCTTCTCTCACTACTCTAAAGGGCCCCTTTGGCAATAGGAAACACATAGACTATTATGGAGATTGATTTTGAAATTTAGATGCACTGTTATCCATTGTGCTTATCCGTACATGTTCATCATATCCTTGAAGATGTATCATGGAAGTGTTGCAGCCTAGAAGACACAAATTTAACTAACAAGTTAAAAATACATGAGTCAAAAATTAACAAGCAATAATATTCCGAGTAGAGGTTTTAGTAGTGGCACAAATCAAGTTATAGAGGGAAGGTAGTTCTTACAATAAAAGGCCTATAGACTAGCACTTTGTCTATTACAGTATACAGGTTAGGAACCACAAGATGTAGAGGCTCAGCTATGTCATTTATGGTTCTTAAGTCCTGGAGCAATTCCATCTACCACTGGGCTGTTTTACAACTCGGAAGTTCACATGCAAGGTAGAGGTGAAGTAAGGAACTGCTTATGAGGTTTTCCGTCCATTCCAACAACTACGAAATAGTGAGAAGAGTTGGGACCTCAGAAGGCTTTTAGGACCAATTAGTAGGCTCTGTGTCCAGGAGAAAATGAATATACTTACCAGTAATGTTAATGCTCACCCACAACTCTTCTGGGAGGATCTAAATTGTTGAAGCGTCCTCCTTTGTTTCCAGCTGGGAGCTGGGGCCTGTTAGTCCTGTCTGCTACGAGGACCTGATGTGGGCCACCTTGGCCAAGTGTCCTTCAGAGCCACACTTAAAGAAAAAATTCTTAAGTGAGCAGCACAGCGATGTAGCTGTTGGCTTAATCACAGTTGTATTTATCACATTTCCCTTGTTAGGATTCAATCAGTAAAAATTTTACTTCATTATACATAGAGGAAATGTATAAAGTTATATGTAGGTATGTAAACATATTTAATTATACATGCATTTTTATATCATAAATATTCCCATTTTTGTGTTAAGAATTAAAGTAATTGTTGCAGAATAATATACATAATGTACTTACAATTTAGTTTCATAGCCCTTTTTAATGTATATATACACATGTGTGCAGGCACGCCTCTATGTGCACATCCATGTACATGTGAACAAATAGACATGAAAGACAACATAATTGGATGAATGATCTTGTCCTTAAAGAGTTTGGTAGAGAAAACTTGGAAAACATGTTTTATTTTTCATGTCACATATTTCCAGGCTGTTTGAATTATTTTTGCAATAACACTTTATGAAATTGATTTGAAACCAAAGATAAATATTTAAAACTTAGAGTTAAAATTCTAACTCTAGTTAAAATGTTTTCCAGTGTTTACTAAGAGTGGAATAAGAAGTGTTGTTGTCATCGTGTTGTTAGGTGCCTTTGAGGGTCTTTCTCTCTTGCGCTGTCCCTCCACCCTCCCAAGCATGACACCTTCTCCAAGGCTTTCTTGCAATATGCTCAGAATATGTCAGATGAAGCTTCAGACTCCTGGGAGCAGTCTGGTTTCATCCTCTCTAGGATGAACCTGTTTGTTCTCTTTGCAGTCCACGGTACATTCAAATAGTAGTGTGGTGAAGATGAGGTCATAAAAAGCTGCTGATGTTTGGGATTTTTCCTCATTTTCTTGTCTTATTAGTACAAGCATCATTTTTATCATGAAAATACAGAATGTTAAATTCATAATAGCAATTTAACTGCAACGAGAATGTGCAGAAGAGGTATTATGGAGATAATTGGTTCATAAACCAACTATGGAAGGAAGAAGTTTATGAGTAAGAGTGAGAGAGTCTGGTTGGATACTTTTTGTCTTCCTTTTTGGTTTGAAGCTTTTCCAACATGTTAGAGGCTTGGGGAAAAGAGCCAGGGAGTAGTAAATAGGTGAGGATGCAGGAAAGAGTGCTCCGATGAAGAAGGTCGTAGTGTTCTAATCTCGAATCCTGCTGAACAAGATATTAAACCTCCACCCCATATATTGTTGTTGTTATGTGCCATAGAGTATCCTGTGACTCATAGCGACCCTGTGAACAACAGCCCTAAACCCTGCTCTATCCTATGCCAATCTTATTGTCTCTGACACACCTACCCTCAATACCTCAGTCACTGACTCAGTCCATCTCATTGAGGGTCTTCCTCTATTGCGCTGTCCCTCCACCCTCCCAAGCATGATGTTCCTCTCTAAGGACTGGTCCCTCCTTCCAGCATGTCCCAAGTATGTCAGATGAAGCTTCAGAATCCTTGCCTCCAAGGAGCAGCCTGGTTTCACCCTCTTAGGACAAACTTGATTATTCTCTACCGGTCCATGGTCTATTCAGTACTCTTCTCCAACACCACAGCTCAAAGGCATCAAATCTCCTTCTGTCATCCCTAGTCATTGTCCAGCTCTCTGATGCATTGCAGGTAGTTGCAAAGACCATAACATATTTTTAAAATTTCATTTTAAACTCACTGGTGTAAAATAAAATTAGTGTTTTTCTCACTAAAATGCAGTGGGAGTTCAACTAAGTGGGACAGATTCATTTTTTTGTACTTAGCATTAGTTAGGAAGCTAACTAATTAATTTAGCTAACTAGTTAATTTAAGTGTAAGTCAGCATGATCCAACCAGAGTGTGTATGTTTTTGAACACATACACATGACCGCACCTCCTTCCCCAAAGAACACTTTCCACATGACCACACCTCCTTCTCCAAAGAATACTTTCTGTTGAGATTCCTAGTAAGAATTCTTGAGCTCTCCTCAGAATGACAGACAGCTTTCTAACCATAGTTGCCTTCTGACCCTTTAGGATTTAACCCAGCAGATGGAAGTACAAGCTGATAAACTCAAATGGCTCAATAGAACGGAATTGGAAATGCTTTCAGATAAGAGTCTGAGCTTACAGGAAAGAGAGAAAATTTCAGAAAGCTTAAGAACTGTGAACGCAACGTGGAATAAGGTGGGCATACTGTTCCCATGGCTCCAGTCTCCTGCTTGTTGATCTTGTTGTTAAAGATGTAGGATCTTGGAACTTTTATTTTTAAGTGTATTTAATGTGGACACATTTTTCCAATATCTACCGTACTAATAAGGAAACTTTGGTGACCTAATGCTTCAGAATTGAGCTGCCAGTCCAGTTGAACAGGTAGTCAGCTGCTTCATGAGAGAAAGATGGGCAGTCTTCTCCTGCATGATTTATGGCCTCTGGAAATGCACTGGAGGGTTAGCTGACAGGGAATTCTGACTCCGTGACAATGACTTTGACTTTTTTCCTTTTCTTTTACAATACTAATGACCATAGTTAACTTATTTGTTCATATGTCCCTAACCAGAAGTATTTATTCAGAATGAATACAGTTTCTTTTAGGTATAAGGCTGTGGGTTTTTTTTTTAATGTAGGAAATGTATATTAAATAATCAATATATTTTGGATTTAAGCAGTAAAATGCAAGTGATTATATTACAAAAATGAATACCTTAAAAAGTTAACTCATATTGTACTTAAAATTTTTTTGATCTATGACTTTATTTTTTAATGCTTTCATTCATTCAGAATGTATCTAATAAGTATTTCCTACATTCCGTGTGGATGGTATATATATTACAAGATCGTGTCTTTTATCTAACACCATTTACTTTTTGCAGTCGAAATATAGTTGTAAAAAGGAAGAGAATTATTTATTTGCACTTATTTTAACCTTGTTCAGACCTTACCTGAGGCATTGATGGGTTAAGACTCTGCCTCGCATTTTGTGGCCTCCATATCCGTTTTTTGTTGGTTTTTGTTTTTTTTCTTTTCTCTATAGTTTTAATGTGACACTTTATCATCCCTTAGTTAATGATGAAGGTGAGTTCTTGATCTTGCCTCTCTGATTGATAGTGACTTCCCTGATGAATTACTGTCACTAATGACATGCTGGCGCTGGAGACCAGTTTGAAAGTCATCTACAGGAGCTGGTTCTACAGAAGCTGTTGGCTGGGGTTGTTGAGTAGCAGGCCGGAATGTTGATTCCCTAAGGGGAGTGAGGTGATGTGATAAGGCGTCTAATTTAAAAACCCATTAGGTTTCAATCTTTTTTGTCAAACATTCTTCTAGGTCATACAGCTCTGGTCTGTCCACTTGCTGTAAAGAGGTAACTTGTGGTTGCTGTGAAGCTGAACACTGTGACACTGATGTGCCAAATGCGATATTGGTTACCCATGGTGGACAGTGTTTGGTGGAGCTCCCTGATTAAAACAAGCTTGGATGCAGGAGTGGCATCCACTTCTGAAATGGTTTGCCTCTGGAAACTCTATGAACATGGAGTTATTCAAGTGTTCAGGTCTTTTGTTCATAGAATCGCTATGAGTCATCTACAACTCGATGGCACTTAACAACAACAATGACACACACATTTGTAACCTCAAGGGCTGAGAGCTCTTGCCATATGCTAGACTGTCAGTTCAATATTTTTATTTATATGCCTTATCCCCACCCACTCACAGCTCCTGGGGACCCTCTGTCAGATTTTCCAGGGATATCGATCTTCATATCTTAATGGGAGAAGATTATCTCATTTTTCACCTGAGGAGTAAATTACTTGATGAGTAGAACTTCTGATGTTTCAGTTAACAGCCCAATACAGTATCTGGAATTAATACACAAAATTTAATTCCTGATATTCGCCTCTTTTTTAAATACCTTAATGCCTTTCCCTTTGACAATGAAAATGAATATCTTTACAACTCCTTGTGTAGAAAAACAAAACAAAGCTCCTCTTTGATTTGGATTTTTAGGGTATGGCATATTTCTCAATTATAAAATAACACTGGAGTCCTCATTATGAGATTCTTTTTCAAAATATATATCTACTTGATAAATAGATGGATGATGCCTAAGAGATTAGGTATAGAATTAAGCAAATAGAATAGTGCTATTAAGTATGGAAGTTATGTGGTATGTGAATATTTTTTTGCAGAGTTCTTTGAATTTTTCCTGGGATTGAGAAGTGTAATAATTTAACCTCTTCTCATTATCTCCATTGCTGTTAACTTATTTTTATACCCCATCATACCTTTTTTCCTGATTTCTTCTCAAAGCAGACACAGTGATTTTGTTAACTCCTTTGACCAAACCTACTGATGATTTTCCATCTCACTCAACGTTGAAGGTGATATTTACTCTGTGACGCTATTCTCTCCCTTACACAACTTTACAGACTGTTGACTTGATATTATCTCGAATAATGCCTGGTTCAGTTTAGCTCCTTCAACCAGAGCACACATATTTATACCAATGTTATCAGTGGATATTGTAGAAAAGGACGTGGTGATCCATTTGTGAACTTTTAATAAACAAAGTGTCCTGCATTGTAGGATTTTGCATAGTTCCTAATATACTTAGATGGATTATGAATGTTAAAGACCAGGTCCTGTTTATTCTACAGAGAATTAGTATTGGCCATTGACAATCTATGATATTTCATTTAGTTATCTACTATTTATTCACTCCATAAGTTTTTATTAGACACTCTAGGTCAGCTTCAGTTTAAGAACTGTGGATACAATTAAGGGAATGACATTGATTCTTATCCATGGAATGTTTCATGGGTCAATTGAGTGGCCAGAAAAATAATAGGATAGAGTTGTTCTTTGTTAAGATAAATATAGGGCATGGATCTGGCTTTAGGGGTAAATATGAAAGGATTTTGGAGGTAGATGACACTCAAACAAACTTATTAAAGTAAAAGTAACTTTTGACCATGTGAAGAATGGAGGGAAAGACTTAAAAAGGATGAAACAGCATGTGAAAGGGTCTAGACTGTACTCATGTGAACATGATACTTCCGGGACATGGAGATAGCAAGATGGAGAGGTACTTCCGATCCTGAAGTCCTTGTTTCTTATCGCAAGACATGTGGATTCCATATTTGAGAGTTAATCATGATCTTAATGGCAGTGGGCACCTTTAAAATGGGAGTTAATTTTTGAAAGACCATTGTAGTGATACTATAGAGATGGACAGTGATCTTAACTGTGGGTAGTGAAAGGTTGCTTGGAGCTTTTAGAAAAAAACGTGGAAGAGATGCCAGGGAATACAGATGGCAAATTCAGATTTACACGTGCTCGAATATCTAGTTGAGAGACAGCTGGACTAAAGATATGTTCTGAGGAGTTATTGACCTCTCAAATCTCCCAGGTGGTGAATGAAACCAATGTTGTTGTTGTTGTTATGTGCCGTCGAGTTGCTTGCGACTCATAGCGAACCTATGTACAACAGCCCTAAACTCCGCTCTGTCCTGTGCCAATCGCACTGTCTCTGACACTCCCATCCCAATTTTCCCAGTCACTGAATCAATTCACCTCATAGAGGGCCTTCCTCTCCTGCGCTGTCCCTCCACCCTCCCAAGCATGATATCCCTCTCTAAGGACCGGTCTCTCCTCACAACATGTCCAAAGTAAGTTAGACGGAGCCTCAGAATCCTTGCCTCCAAGGAACCACCTGGTTTAACCCTTTCCAGGACAAATCTGTTTGTTTTCCTCGCAGTCCATGGTATTCTCAATACTCTTCTCCAGCACCACATCTCAAAGGCATCAATTCTCCTTCTATCCTCCCTGGTCATTGTCCAACTCTCTGATGCATAACAAGTGATTGCGAAGACCATGGCCTGTATCAGACGCACCTTAGATTCCAGAGCGACACCATTGCTCTTCCGTACTTTGGAGAGGTCCCTAACAGCAGACTTTCCCATGGCAATGAGCCTTTTAATTTCCTGGCTGCTGGTGCCAAGGCTGTTGACTATGGAGCCAAGCAAACTAAAGCTGTGTACAATCTCAATCTCTTCACCATCCATCCTGATGCTGCCAATTGGTCCAGTGGTGAGAATCTTTGTCTTCTTGACATTGAGCCTCAATCCATATTGTAGGCTGCAGTCCTTGATACTGTGCAGCAGGCGCTTCAGGTCCTCTTCAGTTTCAGCAAGCAGGGTTGTGTCATCCACATAACGCAGGTTGCTGGTGAATCGTCCACCAATCTTGACCCCACATTTCTCCTCATAGAGCCCAGCCTCCCGGATAATCTGTTCTGCATGTAGGTTGAAAAGGTATGGAGATAGGATGCATCCCTGGCGTACGCCCTTCCCAATTTTGAACCATGCAGTGTTCCCTTGCTCTGTTCTGATTACTGCCTCCTGGTCCAAGTATAAGTTTTGTATTAGAACGATCAAGTGTTCTGGGATTCCCATTAGAAAGTATAATTCAGGAAGAGCGGCCAAGGTCAAGGATGAGAAGACCTAACGTTCTACCTTGGAGAAAGTTGGTATTAGACTGATGCAAAGAGAAGACTGAGCTAGTGAGAGACACTTAGAAGAGAAGTAAGAGCAAAGACAGGACTGCATGATATTAGCAGAAGTCAAGGAAAGGATGTGAACGGTATTCAGTGCTGCTAAGAAGTTGAGCTAGCTAAATACTGGTTGGCATTCTTCTTTTTTCTTTGAATGAAAATCCAAATTTTATGTAAAGTTTTGTTAAAATCACCATGTTGTTGTTGTTATTCTTTTTGATGAATGTGTCTGTGGAATGGAAGACCCAGCAGGCTTGCAGTGAGTAGGAAAGGTGACAATAACTAGCATTAGGGACTACCGTTAGGGTAGCACTTTAAGAATTGTAGTTATTTTTATTAATAGAATGCTCTCTTTCTGGTCTGATAGGTATGCAGAGAAGTGCCTGTTACATTAAAGGAACGTAGGCAAGAATCCAGTTCTGGTTCACAAACAAGGATTGCTGGTAAGATAAAATGTATTCCTTTTAATGTGTTAGTGTTTTTTCATCCTAAACTCACACACATTTTTAAAAGTTTTATATTTTACTTGGGAACCTCTTTAGTCCTGTGAGGTCATCAAAGTGCTTTGTATGTTCAGCTACCAGTTTTACAGTTTGATGTTTCAGGTCTTTTGACCCTCAAGACGTAATTGTCCTAGTGTAAGTTGAGTGTAAGGTCAAAATCTGTTCTGCCGTCTCCCTTCCCCCCATCCCTTCCACGGGTCACCACTTTTCCCAGCATCATTTACTGACCATTGATCTAGAATATGTTTCTGCCAAGGGTTAGGTTGGATAGTCCGGATTTGTAATATATTCAGTTAATTATGGCTATTAAAGAACACATTCATATCTCACTACCAAAAGTAAATTTTTTACTATTCTTGGACCTGTGTTCCTCTTTGTTATTTTTAAAATCATAAATCTGTTTGTTTATTTGTCAAGTTACATATTCTCAGATCTTGGACATTTTGACAGTGAGTGATTTGGCATATTGATTAGAATTGTGATGAATTTAATGGTTGATTAATGCTTTTAGAAAATGATTTGAACCTTATAAGGTCACGGAATTGTAGTCAGTTTTATGGCTCTTAACAACATTTGGGCTCTTGTATACCATATGCCAAAATATATTTTAGATGGATTTAAAATTAATATAGCTGTCACATATCAAATCCATAGAAAAACAAACAAAGGAAAAGCCATAGAGGAGGAAAAATGTTCATAGACTTGGTGAATACTAGAGTCAGTAACTTTAAACTTTAAGGGAAGAGTCTTCAAAAGCAGATTCATGAATTTGATCACTTACAAGTTTGTTAGTATCTATATGTGAGCCTAGAGACTTAGGTGCACCTGATCCAGGCCATGGTCTTCACTGTTACTTGCTATGCATCAGGAAGATGGACAATGACTAAGAATGGTAGAGGAGTAGTTGATGTCTTTGAGCTGTGGTGCTGGAGAAGAGTACTGAATATACCATGGACTGCTAGGAGAGCAAGCTGATTCATTTTGGAGAGGGTGAATCCAAGCTGCTCCTTGGAGGCAAGGATTTTGAAGCTTGGTCTGACATACCTTGGGCATGTTGCAAGAAGGGATCGGTCCTTGGAGAGGGACATCATGCTTGGGAGGATGGAGGGACAGCGCAGGAGGGGGAAGGCCCTCAATGAAGTGGATTGACTCAGTGACTAGGGTAATGGAGGTAGAGGTGTCAGAGACAATGAGCTTGGCTCAAGATAGATTGAGTTTCAGAGCTGTTGTACATAGGGTTGGTATGAGTCACAAGCAACTCAACGCCACATAACAACAACAGCAACAACATATGTGAGAAAGGAAATGCTCAGGTTATTTTGAAAATATGCCATGAGTTTGTATTTTAATATATACAAATGTATCCACATTGATAAGGAAACTTACAGTGGACAAACAGTTAAATAGTATCATAATTGGTTAATAAACTTGAGAAATAGTCACCTTCACTACTGATCAGAAAGCCATTAAATACAACAGTAGTTAATATACTTACCCAGCTGGATAGACAACAGATAGGATATTACTGGAATAGATGAAGGATGTTTCTGCTGGATATCAAAATGGCTACAACTTTGAAGGAAAGCAGTCTGACAGACAGTGTGGGCTCAGGCATATCAGAGATGGTGAGGATGTGCAGGATCGAGCAGGTTTCCAAGCTGTTGTTCATAGAGTCTCTAGGAGTCATACTCCAATCAAGGACGCCTGACAACAGCGTTGCTGAGGGCCTTCGTCTCCTTCACCATCCCCTCACCTTTCCAAGCATGATGTCCCTCTCCACTGAATAGCCTCTCTAGCAACATGCCCAAGACATGCAAGATGAAGCTTCACCATCCTTGCCTCCAGGGAGCACTCTGGCTGCATCTTCTCCCAGATATAGTTGTTCTTTTGGGCGTTCATGAGATGCTCAGTACTCTTCTCCAAAACCACAGAGTTCAAAGATGTCAATTCTTCTTCTGTAATCTTTAGTCACTGTCCAGCTCTCAGCAGCATAGCAAATGGTCGAAAAGACCATAGCTTGAATCAGGTCCACCTTAGTCCTCTAACTAACATCATTGCCCCTCAGTCCTTTTGAGAGGTCCCTGAATGCAGACTTTCCCACTACAGTGGGTTTCCTGATCTCCTAATCCTGTGATCAAGTTGTATTACCTTGAGAAATTTTTATCAAAGTATTTGAATTTTGTAAACAAACTAGTAGGGAAAAAACAACAACAACAAAACATTTAAAAAAAATTTTTAAATACCTGATACTTGAGAAAATTTAAATAGAAGTTAGTGACAATATGAATACATATTCATAGTAATGATTATGTTATGAAGAATGAGTAGTGCTCATATTAGATGTAACATGGAAAAATAGAAAATGGCAGAAAAATTCGGCTTTATAATTAAGGGAAAAAACCCTTGAGAATATAACACTTATTTTCTCATAGTTGACATATTGCATATTTGGGTTTTGGGTTTTTGTTTGTTTCAGTGTTTGCTGCTCTGAGGTGCTGCTGGCGTAATAGGTTGTGAGATTGTCTGTCTGCTTTGTGGCTGTGGTTGTTATGTGCCATAGAGACATCTGTGACTCATAGCACCCCTCTGTATAGTTGCTCTGCTTTATAACTGCCAACGACAAAATGCTTGAGCCATTTCAGTATGAAGTTAGAAATGCTTCTTGGACTTTTTTCAGTTTGAGTGGAAATTTTATTAAAATGTACACATATGCCACCACATACCCCAGCCTTCAGAATGTCCTGTTGACTTGTTCAGATTGTTGCACTTTTTCTTTTTATACGTTTCAGCTCATCCTAGTGTCCAAAAGGTGGTGCTAGTATCATCTGCGCCAGAAGTTCCTGTTCAGTCTCATCGTGCTTCAGAAATCACCATTCCTGCTGATCTGGATAAAACAACAACAGAGCTGGCCGACTGGCTGGTATTGATCGACCAGATGCTGAAGTCCAACATTGTCACCGTCGGGGACGTCACAGAGATCAATAAGACAGTTTCCCGAATGAAAGTAGGTGCAGGGTGGAACACCCTGGGAGGAAGCTCCATGACACAGTGGGGACAGAAGATCAGCTTGGTTCCCTTTGTTTATCTTAAACTATGAAAGAAAGAGGGTTTAAAAAAATCCTTTTTAAGATTCTACCTACCAGCCAGCCATCCCGGCTGACTCCGCAGGGCGAAGATGTTCTTGAATTTGTCCTCCGGTAATAACACCGGATTGGTTTAGCATCTTAGCTGCAGACACAATGCAGATTAAAAAAATAAAACCTAATGCCTTAAAGTGAGGCACATTCTTATGAATGTGAGCTCATTTACCTTGGAGAGGTCTGGTGGCATAGTCAGTAGGGAGTTGCACTGCAAACTCAAAGGCTAACTCAGGTGGTTCGACTCCACCAGCAATTCTGTTGGAGAAAGGAAACCATTCTCCTCTCGGGCAATTTAATGCTTCTGAAAAACCCACTGTAGGTGTGGCTTTGGGTTGGTCCTTACTCAGCAGCAGTGGAGAGAGTTGAGAGTATTACATTTAGTTTTTAATAGAAGTGTAGGGGAGCTCTCATGGCCCAGTGGCAAGAAGCTGCGCTGCAATACCGAGGGCACATGGTTCGAATCCACCAGCTGTTCCGCGGGAGAAGGATGGGCAGTCTCCTCTAAAAACCCGCCAGAGGATCAGCTGTGGGTTGATTTCAACTCGATGGCATGGAAAAACAACAACATGATGTAGTGTAATCTACAGAATTGATTTTTCACCTTATATCTTATAATGAACTTATTAATTTTATATAAATATAGTATAAAAATTATATTTATTTTTATTTTATATATTTGGAAGCAGGAGTGGCATCCACTTCCTAAACAACATGCTTCCAGAAACTGTGAACTTTGATAAATGTCAATAGTTGTAGAGTGGCTTCAGGCCTTTTGTTCATAGGGTCACGATGAGTCGTGCTCTACTCAAAGGCAATCAACAACAGCATTTACTTTATAGTTACTCTAATGAATACTTTTCTCACAGGTTACACACACTCTGAAAGCAGGCATTCACTTGGTGTGGATTTAAGTGAGAAGGTGTCCAGGCCCAGCAGTCCCTACTCATGTGCTCAGACCATTGTTTTGTTTTTCCAAGCAGTTTTCTTCATATAGTTTTCTCAGAGTTGAGGCAACTGAATTTAGAGTATTAATTCTTTTTGTGAAAACGACAGAACAGTAAATTAAAATACTTTACACATGACCTAGGTGTTTAATGAGAGTGTGGAGATTTGAATTTAGTACTTCAGACTTTTAAGTCATACCTTCTTATGGACTCTGTTGGTGCTTCACTGTCCACAGTAGTGGGAGAAAAAGTAAACAGGAACAAAAGTGGCATCCATTTCTGTAATAGCTTGCCTCCGGTAACCCTGTGACCCTGGAGAAAGGATGAAAGTCAAGCAAGTGTTGAGGACTTTGATTCGTAGGGTGGCTGAGTCGTCTTGACTCGATGGCACTCACCAACACTGACAGTGGTATCGAGCACTATAAATTTGAAGGAACACAGTTTTGCTTCGTGTTCTCTTCCTATGGCTTATTCGTGTCATCTCAATCAACATTTCTTACTAGATCACGAAAGCGGACTTGGAGCAGCGTCGTCCTCAGCTGGATTATGTTTTCACGTTGGCACAGAATTTGAAAAACAAATCTTCCAGTTCTGATGTGAGAACAGCCATTACAGAAAAATGTAAGTTAAACAAATAATTAGAAGAGCTCTACGTCATCCCTTTTCTCAGAAAATGGCAATGTACATGGTTATCAGATTATCTGGTTAAAATGAATTCACTTGAGTCTCTTTAAACCACGGATTTCTCTTATTTTCTAACCTTTTCTTTTTTTCAAACACTGTCTCAGTGACCTTGTGGACTTAAGTTTAACAGCATGACTTTTAATTATGTTAATTATTACATATTGAATTTTTTTCTTCTATATTAGAATTTATTTTAAAACAATCAGAGAAGCAAATATTAGACAAACCCATAGAACTACATTCTCCCATCCTGATTTATTCACTGTGGACTGATCTTACCCTGCCCGCCAGTGTAAATTCTCAAAGTTCATTCATTCTGCAAATGTTTATGCAACAACAGCCTGTCTGTGTGCCTGACACAAATTAAATGTACCATTGGAGGCTCTGTCTACCCTTCCCTGCAGAGAGGAGGAGTTCCTGGGAGTTGGAATCAACTTGATGACAGGCTGAAATAAGCAAACAAATGTAAATAAATAAAGCAATAAAGATTTCTGGATGAGGTTCCCATGTCATAGTGTCGATGAGATCTGTGCTGGGTAGCAGACAGTCTGGCCTCTCGAGAATGGCAGTTAGGGACGGCCACTCTGCCCTGACCTGCTTTTATCAGCTTCTCCCGCACTGCAGTCTCGTCCGTTGGTCACTCTTCCACACTATATATACTCCTTGAGACATCCTGACATTTCCCAGCTGTCCTAGCTTTATCTGTGTTCCTCCTTGCCCCTCGGCCTTGTCTCCACAAGTGAGTGTCTGCCCAGCAGCTAAAATGTCACTCCCCTGCGTGGCGTCCGGCCCACTTGCTTCTGGTCCCCTGTGAAGGGAACTTTCTATCTTTAGTTGCTGCTGTGGCCTTTTTCTTTCCTTCCCCTCCCGTAGATCTCACACCACTGTCTCTTCTCAGTACCTTGTTAATTCTCTCACCTTAGGGCCTCCCATGGCGCCTGCACATGTTCCTTACTTCGTAATTATTTGTGGCAGAACATTCTAGGGAGAATAAATATTTACTTGTAATCTTTGTAACTTTTCCAAAGACTAGAATACCTCATATTCCCCTCTAAGATGTGTGTTAGATTTCAAAATAGATGTGATTTAGTAAGGTTATTGACTGAGATACGCTTACAAAGAACTTCTAGTGTTTGAAATTGTGGTTTATTTTTACTGAAGACAGTGTTTCTAGATTGTTGTCATACTTATAATGCCTAATGATATATTCCTTTTGGAGCACTGCAGAGTAGATGGGGGAAGGGAGAGGGAGGGGGAGAGGAAACTACAACAATGAATGAATGAAAACCCAAGCTTTCTGTAAACTTTCATTAAAATCGCAATAAAAAATTTAAACAAAATGAATGAAGAGGGCATTTCCCTTCTTCTTTCTTTTAATTGGTTGACTGTACTTACTGGGGAAATCGATTAATTTCATTTCACACATGTGGCAGGATAACATCCCTGTTTTAAAGATGCCAGACTGTCCATAAAGCAGTTTCTCTTCTGCTTGATCTTTCAAGTCTTGTTTTCCTTCAAAGGTGTTTTGCAAGACTGGACTTCTTGCAACTATTTCCTCGCTCCAGATTAACTTTCAGTGTTTTGTGGTCTCCACATTGTGTGTGTATATGTGTACCCATGTTCACAGATTGCACAGATATAGTCAATATTACATGTGAAAAGGAGCCCTAGTCTCCCTAGCAGGGAGGTGCATTGCAAACCCAAGCTCTGTGCCTCTCTGGTGGTACAAATCTACAAGCTGCTTTGTGGAGAAAACGAGGAGCAATCTTCTGTGTCATTTACAGCAATGAAAGGCATACTGGGGAGTCAGCTGTGAGTTTATGGCAAGAAAAAACCCCCTTCATGCCTTTTTTTTTTAAAAAAGAAAATATATTCCTTTTAATTGTGATTTTAACAAAAGTTTACACAAATGTTGGGTTTTCATTCATTCATTGTTGCGTTATACGTATGACAACAGTCCAGAACGGCTTTTATAAATGTGAAACCATTCTTAGTGGAGTGCATCACTGTCTCTCTTATCTTTGCATCTATATTAATTAGGATCCTTACCTTTTATGGTCAGCTTCTTGTGATCTTTGCTGCTGTTTTAGGACTCATTTTATTTGTTCAGTTAGAAAAGATTCAGTTAAACTCTTCCAGCAAGATGGTCATAAATGTTTTGCGTGATTCTCTTGTATGCCACCATTTTGATAAATACATCCACTCTCTTTTTAAGGTTAAAAACTTGAACAGCTTATTTAAATCATAAATAAGAGAGCATAAAGCATCTCATTGAATAATTTTAATGCATTTTTACACATAGGTTTAAATATAGTTAGTGACTTCATGTTTAATATAGCCCTGCTATCCCAAGAATTCTACAAAAATTTCCCATTTTTTTTAAACTTAGTTGGAAACTTTTCTTACCATTGTGTCCCTTTGAGCTGAGTTCTTACTACAGCCTGTCAGTGTATTCTGCATCTTCCTGCATCTATTTTTAATCTTATGTTTGTATTTTTTAATCTTATGTCTGTTTATTATCAAAGGGCTCTTGAAGGTATTAAAACCTATTACTTATCAGTACATTAAAAGATCACATACAAGGTCTAATGGTGGTTAATTTTATAAAACATAATGCATGGAAATGATTGTATGAAACAGTGTGAGTGAAGAATAGTGTAAAACGCAATGCATACAAATTTTGTAAGCAAACCAATAAAAAAATAAAGACATATAAAGCTGCAGCAAAAAAGAAATATGTCACATAGTGCCCCTGAAGTAATTAACCACTGGCTTACATTTCTGCAGCTCTTCTTTCTTTTTCTTCAGGTTAAAATATAGAAAAGAAAAAAAAAAACCAAACAACCAAAACAGGGAAGAGAGGAGAAGTGAGAGAAAGAGGAGGAATGAAGGCACCATATTTAAATTTTAAATGTAAAAGCAACTCTGTAGAATCTGCTTTTCTTCATTATTTTTCTTGGATTCAAACACTTCAAATGTCTTGATTCTCAGAGAGGATCATAATAGAGTAAAAAAAATTAGAAAAATATTCTTTGTTTTGTTCACTGCCTTAAAGAGACTTGTTTGAGGATAAGAAAAATATGACCATATCTACATTGTAGAGTCATGTCATAAAATTCTCTTTAACTCTCAAATTCAAGTTTATGGCCATCAAGTCAGTTCCAACTCATAGCAGCCTTCCATTGAGTTTGAGTCTGTAAATCTTAATAGTAGGAGTATGTTCATTTTGCTCTTTTGCAGCTTCTGTTTGGATTCGAACTTCTGCAGATGCAAGGCCATTTGGTCAGTAGGGCAACAAGCTGTGGACAGTGGACAATGGCACCAGAGCTCCTCTCGCTTTTAACTCTATCTTCATCAAACTCTATTCTGTTAGACAGGTGGTGATGGTGGTGGGGATGTGCCATCAAGTCGAGCGTGACTCACAGCGCTTCCATGAACAACAGAGCTGAACCCTGTGTCGCCCTCCTAATCTCTGACACACTCAGGCCCATTGCTGCAGTCACTGTGTCAATCCAGCTGGTTGAGGGTCTTCCTCTTCTTCATCATCCCCCCACCTTTCCAAGGATATGATGACCTTCTCCAAGGAAGAGCCACTCCCAGGAACTTAGCCGCATTTTCAAGAAGCAGCTTTGCCCTCCTTGCATCCCAGGACCACTTTGGCAGCAACTTCTCCAAGACGTGTCTCTTTATTCTTTTGACAGTCCTTGGGATATTCAGTATTCTTCTTCACATCACAGTTGAAAGGCATCAGGTCTTCTTCAATCATCTTTATTCATTGTTCAGCATTGTACAGCGTAGCAAGTGACTGAAAAAAAAAACACCATGATCCTAATCAGACGTACTTTGGTCTCTAAACTAACATCATTGCTCATTGCTCTTCAGTCATTTGGAGAGGTCCCTGACTGCAGATTTCCCGGTGCAGTAGTTCTCCTCATCGCAATCTACTGGGACCAAGTGTTTGATTGTGGATCTAAGTGAGATGAAGTCCTTGACAGTCTCGTTCTTTTCTCCATCTATCATGATCATGATCTTGCCTAACAGTCCAGTGGTGAGAATTTTTGTTTTCTTGATGTTGAGATGGAATCCATATCGATGGCTGCAGTATATCAAATCCTCTTCACTTTCAGCAAACAAGATTGTGTTATCTGCACGCTGAAGGTTCTTGATGTGTTTCCCTCTAATCTTGACTACACGTTCTTCCTCACAGAGTCCAGTCTCAAATAATCTGCTCAGCATAGAGATTGACTAGGTATGAGGAAAGGATAGAACTCTGAATCAGACTCTTCTTAATTTATTTTAGCTGTTCAAATTTTTTATCATCTTTAAATACATAACTACAGATGAGAAAACAAAGAGATTTATCTATAAGTTAAAGAAAAGCTACATTTAAAATATATGTGCTGAAAGCCACTATGAGTAAAACCAATATATATTTCTAAAGAATGAATTTGCTTCATGTATGAAAAACACATGTCAAAGGATTTAAGTATTCTCTATTATAGCTAGTAAAAAATTATGGCAACATTTTCATCTCCATTTCTGAAAAATCCCAGGATATCTAGGAGTGCTGACAGATTGCAGCTCACATCATTCTGAGTAAATAAATCTGCCATTGAAAAATAAGTCCTGAATATGAAGAGAACTATCATAATCATGTCTATATTAAGGAAATTTCCAGGACAGTTAACCAATTATATTATCAATTTTAAATCGTGTACTGCTCCCTTGCTTTACTTGCACAACAGCTTCTTGGTCTAGGTGTAGATTTTGCATGAGCAGAATTATTTAGGAAATACCTTTAAAAAATAGGTAGTAAATATCTTTCTTTAAAATAAGAATAATGAAAAATGAACAGACTAAGAATCATGGTAATACTATTATTTACTTTGCCGCCTTACAGTGGCAGATAATTTTATTGTGAGCTCTTTTTGGTATATTTAGAATACAGGGTCTAAGATTTTCTCTTGAGCAAGAGTTCAGACATCTCTCAGCTCCTGCAGTGTGGCAGGAGTATCGTAAAGTGTGTGTACCTACTGTCTCTCATTTACATTTGTGGACTTACTTAAGCTTAGTTTGATGTCAGATGTTCGTTCTCTTTCCTGATGGTCACTATTGTGTCTCATTTCCGGTCCCTTCCACAGTGGACAGGGTGCAGAGCCAGTGGGACAGCACTCAGCATGGCGTGCAGGCCCGGCAGCAGCAGCTGGAGGACATGATCGTTGACAGTCTGCAGTGGGGTGACCACCGGGAGGAGGCCGAGGAGCTTCTGAGGAAGCGTGAGGCTCAGCTCTGCCTCCTTCAGCAGGCCCGCAGGGACCCTCTTATCAAGCAGATTTCTGATAACCAGGTGAGTCTCCTTAGATGAGTTCTGGCACTAGCATTTCATTGGATGCCCATTTCTCTCTCCCTCTTGGGTACTGATTTTTAAGACCCTGGCATGATGCTTCCCCAAGTACTTACTGGAATTAATGGGAATTATTTGACCAAGATGATTGTTGGAAAGAAAGTTTGAAGAGGCTGTTGGGCCTCTTTGTAGAACTCTTTAGAGTTGTGCGTATTTATTAGATGTTGGGCTGTCTGATTTCTTGTGCACTGAACATACCTTTTCTACCATCATGTAGAAGGAAAGTCAGCAGCATCCCTGGAACCTCCATTTGCACCCCTCCTTCCCTATCCTGAAGGCTCTTCGCATTTATAACCTTTTCTGAACCTTTCACTCAAGAGCTGATAGTGTGAACAAATCAGGTCGTAAGTGTAATTATTTTATCACTTGTTGCTAATGAGTCAAAACCTGCTTGTAGCTGACTCTCCAGCGTTACAGGAGCAGTGCCAGGGCTGTCAGCCTTGCAGGAGGAGATCTTGCATCGTCCTGGAAATATGCCACCTTTGGGCCAGCAGTGATGCCCCCTACAGATGACGCTACCATAAGATAGTGGCTAGTGTGATTTTTTTGTGTGATTAGTTTAAGTACAGAGTTGGAAATATAGAGTACTAATGTGCTATTTTAAATTCTTGCTGGAGTTATAAAAAATATTCTTTACTTGGAAGCTTTGATGATTATGTTGGTATATACTATTTATATGTCCTTTAGCCTAAGAAAAGCGTATGTAATTTTTAATGACTGTGATCTCTTAAGAATACATGAATCAAGAGTCCTAAAGAAGAAAGTATGTGATTCTTTACAACTATAAACTTTGCTCCTTACCATTTACAAAGTATATGGCAAGCTTACTGGTTTTCTGGACCATTCTCTGTGTTTATGGTAATGACCAGCTGTTTTCATTAAATAGCACAGAAACAGTAATACTGGAGCCCCTGGAGCCTTACCTAGAGAAGTACAACCCACATTGATGTCAGAGCTTACGTCACTGAATTCCAGAGTCTAGTCAACGGTAAACCCACTGGAAGGTCAGCTATGGGTCTATTGCAACTTGATGGTACACAACAAGAGTCTATGATAAAATTCTTTTCTTTGGAAACTTGAGGGTACATCTTCTAGCAGTTACGACAGAAAAGTATTACAGCAATAGGCTTTTACCTACAATTAGATTTCATGTGGAGTATCCTAAGCCAGTAGCTGTTGTTGGGTGCCATCAAGTCGGAACCTGTTGCAGACTGAGGTTCAAGTAATTTTATAATTATTAATAATGAGACATATAGCCAGGAATGAGATAGAGCAGAGAGCATAAAACGGGGGGGGGGGGGGGAAGCCATTCTTGACTGAAGATGCCAAGCCAAGCTTCTCTGTATCTTTACTGAAAATTAACAGAAAGTAAATCACAAAGAGAATTCAATGCAAATGAAGCCAAGCTCTTTCTATTGAAAACCTTCTGCTTGACTCAGGAGGGCCGGGTTAGCAAATGCAAGAATCTGGTAAACCCTTAAGGATTCCTTAGTGCCTCATGGCTTCCCATAGGTACCAACTTGTAGCTGACCCTCCAGAGTGTTTTCAAAGGCAGTACATCACATGGGCAGAGATTGCCTTTCCTTCTCCCAAGGAGTAGCTGGTGGATTCAAACCATGTGCCTTTGGGATTGCAGGGCAGCTTTTTCCCACTAGCTAGGAGACTGAAAAAGAAAAAAAAAGTTTCAAGGAACTAATGTCTGACTGCTTGATCCATCCCAGCAGGTAACGTTCACAATCACTCAGGAGCAGGGGGTGTCAGGCTCCCCTGTTCCTAGTTAACCTTAAGTTTCTCCAAACACACAGAGTACGCAGTATGTCCCTAGCAGTAAGGTCTTGGGTTTACCAGCGGCGATCCTGAGGAAGGAATTGTACAGTAATCAGATAACTCTCCCAAATCTTCCTATGCATCTTTTAATTTTTCTGATTCTCAGTCATTTGGGAATGTGTTTTTTGTTTTTTTTTATTTAAGTTAAGGAACCAAGTAAACGACACTATCCTTTGAATGTTGGCCAGTGTCAACACTGGCTAATAGTCCACCAAAATCATGTGTCGTTTTTAGAGTGAACTTTTCTGACTAAAACCCAAATCTAAAGCCCTAGATGGGAATTTTCAGTGACAGGATTTAGCTTTAAGTGGTAGGGAAAATATTCCCAGAAGTCTTAATTTCTTAACACACAGTTGATTGTATCTGTTTCCTGTCTGACCAAGTTGTTGTACTGTGGAGGAACTGCCACGGGGCTGAGAGATGCTGGATGGAATTGCTATGGTGCTGGGTGATGCTGGGAGGGATTTCTGTGGTTCTGGGTGATTTTGGAAGCAATTGCTATGGTGCTGGGTTCTGTGATGGTATTGCTATTTCAGAGACTTAGCAGGGCCACCTGTAGTGGACAGGGTTCAGTGGATCTTCTAGACTAAGAGTAAGAAAAAGCCTAGAAATTGACTTTTTAAATTTAACATTTATCCAGTGAAAACACCATAGATCAATATGAAGCATTGTTCACTGCAGTGCGGAAAGGTGAGCCCTTAGAATGGAAGGGACTACCATAGTTATGACCGTCGATGCAAACATACCAGAGACCATCTCAGAGCAGGAATTTTCTTCTGTTCCATAAAAGGCAGCCATGACTCAGTACTGGCTCAATGGCAGTTAACAATATGTGCTGTCAAGTCGTTTGTGACTCAGAACAACCTGATGTACAATAGCCCTAAACCCTGCTCAGTCCTGTGCCAATCTGATTGTCTCTGACACACCTACCCTCATTACCCCAGTCACTGAATCAACCCATCTCATCCCGGGTCTTCCTCTCTTGTGCTGTCCCTCCACCCTCCCAAGCATGCTGTCCCTCTTCAAGGACTGGTCTTTCCTTGCAGCATGTCCAAAGGATGTCAGCTATAGCTTCAGATTCCTTGTCTCCAAGGAGCAGCCTGGTTTAAGCCTCTCTAGGGTGAACCTGTTTATTCTTCTAGCCATCCATTATATATTCAGTACTCTTCTCCAGCACCATAGCTCAAAGACATAAATTCCCCTTCTATTATCCCTAGTCATTGTCCAGCTTTCTGATGCATAGCAAGTAATGGCAAAAACCATGGGCTGAATCAGGCACACCTTAGTCTCCAAACTGACATCATTGCTGTTCAGTACTTTGGAGAGGTCTCTGAGAGCAGACATTCCCAATGTAATTTGTCTTTCAATTTCCTGGCCGCTGGTACCAAGAGTGTTGATTGTGGAGCCAAGCAAACTGAAGCTGTTTACAATCTCAGTCTCGTCATCATCCTTCATGATGCTGCCAGTTGGGCCAATGGTGAGAATCTTTTTTTTTTTTAATTTTGAACTTCAGTCCATATTGAAGGCTACAGTACTTGACCTTCTGTGGCAAGCACTTCAGGTCCTTCTCAGTTTCAGCAAGAAGGGTTGTGCCATCTGCATAATGCAGATTGTTGATGAGTCTTTTCTTCCATCCTGATGCCACATTCCTCCTCATAGAGCCCAATCTCTTGGATAACCTCTTCTGCATGTAGATTGAAAAGGTATGGAGATAGGACACTTCCTTGGCATATACCCTTCCTAATTTTGAACCGTGTGGTATTTCCTTGCTCTGTTCTGATTGCTGCCTCCTGGTCCAAGTATAGGTTTCACATAAGTATGATCAAGTATTTTGGGACTTCAGTTCTTCTCAGAGTCAGCCACAGTTTGTTGTGATCCATACAGTCAAATGCCTTTGTACAGTCAATCAAACGCAGATGGACATTCCTCTGGTACTCTTTTCCTTCAGTCAATATCTAGCTAACATTATTTATAATATCCCTAATACCACAGCCTCTTCTAAACCCAGCCTACTGTTCTGGCTGTTCTCTGTTGATGTGCTGTTCCCAGTCGTTTTTGGATAACTTTTAGCAGAATCTTGCTTGCATGTGATATTAATGATATTGTTCAATAATTTCCACACTCCGTTAAGTCACCTTTCTTTGGAATGGCAACAAATATGTATCTCTTCCAGTCATTTGGCCAGACAATCTTCCTGTGAACAGATGTCTGCTGGAAGGCATAAAAAATAGAAATGATTTGGTGGAATGTCTGGGAAGAAAAGACACTAATCTTTTCATACCACCCGTGTTTGGGTGTTTTGAATGACTGTGTTCTGAATTATGGTGGCTTTGTGTGTGTGTCTTTGTCTCATAATTTGTTGTTTTTTTTGGTATCTCTAAGACAGGTTAAAATCACCTGGAAGTACAAGATGTTGTGGTCAAGGTACCAAGCAACCAGCTTTAACAATTCTATCTGAAATTGCAACTTAGGTACTGCTGCAGGAGCTGGGTTCCAGTGACAGTGTCATGGTGGTGTTGGACAATGTCCTGCAGAAACTGCTGGAGGATTATGGGAGTGATGACACAAGGAATGTGAAAGAAACCACGGAGTACTTAAAATCTACCTGGATCAACCTAAAACAAAGGTAACCCCAAGACACTGGTACAGGACTATCACCAAGTGGGCAATTGGATTGCTTTGGCTTTCTGATGGTCACGGAATCAAACTTGTGACTATTAGAAGTACACTTTAGAATCTTTCTTGCTATTGTAGTAATGCTAAATTCATATTATCATACTTAGTGTGGAATGCTTTTAATTGTTTTTGGTCAAACATTCTTCTAGATGGTATAGCACTGGTCTTTCTATTTGCTGTACAGAGGTACCTCGTGAACAGTGTGACCCCGATGTGCCAAATGCAATAGTGGTCACCCATGGCAGACAGTGTTTGGTGGAGTTCCCTGATTAAAACAAGCTTGGAAGCAGGAGTGGCATCCACTTCCGAAATAGCTTGCCCCTGGAAACCTTGTGAACTTGGAGAACCAAAGAAAGTTATGCAAGTGTTTAGGTCTTTTGTTCATAGGATCGCTATGAGTTGCCTATGACTCAACGACATTTAACAACAACAACAACAGTGTGGAATATGTATTTTTATACTCTCTAGTGAACTAGAATTTCTACAGTAAAGGTTTCCCCTTGAAGAAGTTGAATTTTGCCATTCATCATTGTATGTATTGTGAATTTCTTATGCCTCTTACTATTTCCCAGAATCTTTTAGGTAGTGTATAATGGTAAAGAAACTTTAGTATTTATAGATACATTGCTTTTTGGGGGTTTTGGTGGTTTTTTTTTTTTTTAATATTTCTTTATGAGTAACAGTGAACTTTTTAGCTGGGACATCTTCAATGGAGGATCAGACAAGCTTGGACTGAACATTCAATCTCTACATCATGGTATATGTTTAGAGGTTCAACTAAATTTAATATCCTTCATTCCCTATCACTTTATTTTATTCAATTGGAATAGTCTCAAGGAGCACATAACGTTTGTAGGAGGGTTCTCTGTCACTTGAACACCCAGGATTTAGGAACTATAAACAGTAGTTAGCATCTCTTTGAATTTGCATATTTATATTCATCATCAGTGAAAGAGTGTTTACTTCATGCACTGCGCCAGGAGTGCCTATGTCTAAGTAGACTTATGGTTTTCCACCGTATCTCCATATATTCCCATGAGTCCACAAGTGAATGTGTTATTGAAGCATGCTTATTTTGCATTGTGGAAAGAGAATCATATTAAAACTCTTTATGATATGTATTACTGGTTATCAGGCACGACTAAACATTTAATAATGGTTTGAAAATGCTTTGAAGATGTTTTCTTCACTTTTTGAATACTGTTTTTAGTTAACATGTCCAAAGCAGAATCTTTGCTATCTCACAGGCAGGAGGATTCTGCGGGCAGTGGGGGAATATGAGTGGATGAGTGGAGTTACCTGGGATGCAGTGGGAATTTGGGCACAGTAGCAAATAGAAAACTTGGATGTGTGGTTAAAGCTGACTAGCTGTGATGTTGATTTTTCTAGAATTTTAGTACAACTGTTTTCTTTTGCTGTACAAGGTTGCAAAGATTCCTAACTAAGGGACAGAAGAAAGTAAATGAAAACCAACTTTAACAGTAAGAGCCAAAGTCCTCAAGTATATATTATCTGTATGTTTCAAAAACATTCTATGTGTAAGAACTAAGGCTTTGTTTCTGCTGTAAATTCCATGTATGAGATAAATTGATCACTTAGGAAGGTTGGACTGCTTTATTTAGAGCCTCCAATCTTTTTTAGCTTTAACTTTGTAAATATTTTAAGACAACCTGCAGCAGTAGTTAGATTAGATGGAAGAGGCAATTAAAAATGAATTATATTCGAAGGTGATCTTTCATTTATCATGGCAACCATAGTGTTCCAAATTTATTGTAGTTACATGCAGTTATCCTTAGGATTTTTCTTTCTGTATTGTTTTTGGAAATAACCAGTTGTTCTAATAGTTAAGCACAATTTCTCAGGATACATCGGGAGCAGAGAATATACAATAAAACTGCTACTTATCGGATTCTCTGTGAGTGACAGCATTTCTGTATGTGGAAGGCTTTCTCTTTCAAAGACAGTGATTTTTAATTATTCTAAATAATCATCTGTCTAATACACAAACCTCTTGGCCTCTCAAACACAATGTCAACCTGTGTTAAACTTTCCATGAACTGTTGAGATTATTGCTGTGAATACAGAATTGTTGTTGTGTGCTGCTGGGTTAGTTGTAACTTGAGAGAGTAGAGCTTCCCCGTAGGGCTTTTAACGACGAGACTGTTTTATAGGAGCAGATTGCTCAGTCTTTTTCCCATCAAGCTGCTGGTTGGATTTGAACTGTACACCTTTTGGTTAATAGCGGAATGCTTAAATGTTTGCACCATTTCACTCCCTGTGACCTTAGAGTGCTTAAAATACCTATTTTTATCACCTTGTTTTCAATACTACTTTCCTAGTGAGACTTTTGTGAATGAAAGATGGACCAGTCAACTCTTTTTTTTTTTTTTAAATTTTATTATTTTTGTGTGAGTGTACCGTCAAATCAGATCTGACTGGTACAGGAGGAGATGGTCCCTCCTTCTCCGGCAGAGCATCTGGTGGATTCGAACCGTGCACCTCTGGGATTGTAGTTGCAGCTCCTTGCCACTAGGCCACCAGAGCTCCCCGGACCAGTCAACTCTTGTACCATTTTACAGCTGTGGAAACACCATAGGTCCTGCTCTGCTCTACAGATTTGAAATTAACTGGGCAGAAGTGGGTTTGGCTTTGGTTCATAAAAGAGCCCTAAAATTCCTAAAGAATTTTAATCCCAAGGTTATATGATAAAAGTTTTTTATATATTATATATTTATATATGTTATATATTTATCTATATAGATAGATATAGATGTAGATAGATATAGATGATATAGATGTAGATGTAGATATAGATGATATAGATATAGATGATAGAGATATAGAGATATAGATATAGATAGATATAGAGAGAGTGATATAGATATAATTTATCTATCCTTTTTATCTGAACACTGTGATGCTGTGACACTGACGAGTCAAGTGTGATAATGGTCACCCATGGTGGACAGTGTTTGGTGGAGCTCCCCGATTAAAACAAGCTTGGAAGCAGGAGTGGCATCCACTTCCAGAATAGCTTGCCTCCGGAAACGCTATGAACCTGGAGAAAGGATGAAAGTTATACAGGCGTCCAGGCTTTCGTTTCATAGGGTCACTATGAGTTGCCTATGATTTCAGGGCACTTAACAGCAACATCCTTTCACAGTAGAATACATTTTTCTTAGATCTACACTCCCCAGAACCATTTATCACTTCTTTTAAGGATGTCTGGTCTAATCTCCTGCTTGTAAGTTAAGGGAATGATATGTTCAGAGTAACAATAACAACAATAAAATAAAACATGTCACAGCACCCCCTATAAATCAAAGCTTTGCAGTTGGCCTTGCCTCAAGGCCACCCGCCACCTAACAGTGTAGTATGTGTGCCGTAGGGTTTTCAGGGGCTGTTTTCTTGGGTGCATTTTGCCAGGCTATAGAAGATGCATAGAGCCCCTGGGTGAACTTGAACTACTAGCTTTCTGATTAGCAGCTAAGCGTCATAACCATTTGCACCATCTAGAAATTTCCTTCAATCAGCCAAGGTGATACCTTTCTTACATTAAACTCTGATAATATTTTTTCATGCTCTGAAGAACCGATAGAGTAAATTCATTTAGGCTGCTATGTACCGAGGGATTTTGTGTCTTATTTTTAGAGTGTAAGTTTTATTGAAAATCTTCTTTCTCTCCAGCACTGTGCCAAGTCAGTAGATAAAGCACCTCACATCCATTATCTCATTTAATCCTCGCAGCCATTGCAACTGATGAATAAAATAATAGAAACTAACCTTTCTGCACACCCTGTAATAATGGGAAGCCAGTATTTTCTAGTCCTGTAAGGTAAAAAAGACTTCATCTTAGCAGAGCAGTGGTGGTGTTAGCTTTCTTATCAAAGGAGAATTCCTTTAAACTCTTCTTAAAATCCTTTTGTTGCCGTTTCCTGTTTGCTCCCAGAAACTTACACAGCTCCACCCCTTTGCGGTGCACTTTCCCATCTGCTACTGCAATTTATAGCCAGGAGCCGAGTCTCCTCTTAATCCACAGCCTACAAATAGCGCCAGGTACACCTGGAATAGCACTAAGACCACACCGGCTTGTCTGGGATGCAACCATGGGCCAGATCACCTGGTCAAAAGGAAATACTTTAGAAATCCTTTATCTTCTGCTGTCCTGCCCCTTCCCTAAGGGGCCCTGGTGACCAACTGGTAAGTGTTGTGCTGCCCACCTGAAAGTACAGAGTTCAAATCCACTAACTGTTCAAAGGTAGAGAGAAGGTCACTCTCCTCCTATGTGAAGTATAGCCTCTTCCCATCTGCTGGGGGGTTAGTTCTGAGTTGGTTTGGATTCGGCCACACCTACCAACAGCATCCCTACTGGATGTGAGCCCCACTTAGTCTCCAAGCTGGGGAGGTAAATTTGGGAATTTCATATTCTCTGTGGCTCCTATATACTAGGATACAATAAAACTTTGCTGTTTCACCTCATCTCTATCTCTGAGCTTGGTTTCCAAGTGACCGGCAGATGAGCAGCTCTGCAGTAACAGAACCGTAAGGCAGGTGACCCTTATGACCGTGTTGTGTGGGTGGTTCACAGGTACAGAGCCCTTAGCTCATGACCATGGGCAGCAGCAATGGAGCTGGGACTGGAATCCAAGGCTTTGTGACAACACAGTCAGCGTCGTCTTGTCTTTAATAAAAGGCAGTTTCATTCTTATTTGTCTTCACCGTGTTGGATGCTGCTAGTGACCTACTTCTTAGATCTGTCTTGTGATTTCTTTGCCTGGATCTTCTCTGTGTTGAGTTTAGGAAGTAAAGTATTCTCTGGCATGAATAATGGAAGAACCTGGCTGTGGCCACTGTGCCCTCTGCAGTGGCCATCCGGAGACCCTCTACTGTGTTCTCTTCTTGGCTCCTGACTGTGTTTCATATAGACACACTTGTCAGCAGGACTCGAGA